TCAAGCATAAGCGAGTAAAAACATAATTCCGCCATTTGCCGGCGAGCGAAGGTTATCAAATGACCGGCTGAGGGGTCATAAAAATAATCAAAAATCGCGTTGCGGCAAAAAAGAAAGAAAAAAGCCAAAAACAATAAAAAAAACGAGAAAACAATAACAACGCGTAGCAAATTGGTGTGAAAAAGGGAAACATGCGAGCGACCAAAAGGTGAAACCGTTCTGCCAGGCGAAGCGAGCTCATATCTCTAAGTACTAAAACATGCCACGGCACTTAAATACGAATAAACACGCAGGGACATTGTTCCAGCACACCAGCGCGTGCGTGTGTGGGTGCAGGCGGTCATAAAAAAGATATTGACCGGAGGAAATGTAACCACATCCTTGCATTTGTATATGTGAGCGTGTGTGAGTGAGTGCTTGCGCGCCCTCCGTAGCTGGGTGCTCTCTAAGTGAACTCATTGCTCGCACGTATGCATATGTTGGCACATATGTGGTGGTATGTGTACGAAGCGGCATGCAGATAAATTTTAAAATATTTATGCTCCTCTTTGATTGCGCCACTCGGGGAGTGGGCTGGAGTGAGCCGCCATTTGCGCTGACTAATTCAGCTGCTGTTATCCTGCGTTATCCTGTGCAAGTACCGACGCTTACCTGTTAGGTAATATTTACATGTGCAATGCATACATATTGAGACAAATGTGCATATCTAAGCCCGCGCTGCTTTACACGCTTTGGCGCATGCTCGCTTAGCTATTGCGCTGCTATCTTGGCCATAAAGCACTCTACTGGGAAGTAACTTTTTGAGTAATTACTTTTGCAGCGGATTTGTGTGCTAACGGGCCGAGCAGCCAGTAACTCAGCTCGTTGCCGGAGGTGCTCACATATACATATATATATATAGCGGCTGCACAGTGGTGTGGTCATAAGGTTTTTGTGGCTTAAAAATAAATAAATTTYGATCTGCATTGGATTGAAGAAAACTTATAATTATAGTAAAATATTTGGAACTGTTCACTTTGTAGAAATAATTTTTTGGAAGTTAGATAAAAAACTTTAATGAAAATATTTTTTTAAAATTTGAATAAAAATATTTTTTATACAAATTTTTAATTTTACTATAATAATTTAAAACACGAATGTAACAAAAATATTTAGTTATAGTAAAATATGGTCAACTCTTCACTTTTTAAAATTAACATTTTGGAAGTTTGGTAAAAAATGTTATTAAAAATATTTTGTAAACAATTTTTAATTTTAATAAAAATATGTTTTTAAATATACGTTGAGCATAAAAACGAATCAATCAAACCAAAACGTTCGTTTTCTAACTTACCATTTCAAAAGATTTCTTAGAAATCAGTCAACTGGGACAGAGACAACTATTATAACGGTTGTTTTTGAAACAAATAAAATGAGCTATCTTCAATAAATAACTTGTTTATACCTTCCGAAAGAGCTTCTAGATATATATTGTTCCAATAAAAAAAAAAAAAAAGGTTGAAGAACCGTAAAAGTATCTTTTTCAAAAAATCTACCCAAACCTGAGATTTATTCAAGTTTAGCTCAGAAATAAGTGTAGAAGACAGGCTGGGAGTTCAAAATATTCCTCTTACGAAATTTTCGTTGAATTTTATTGAAACGCAAACAAAAATTACTTAGATCCGCATCAATCCAATATCAATCCAAGCCAATGCGCCTGGTTAGTAGAATTAATGATAGTCGAGAAGCATCTCTCCGCCATCATCTTAGTTCCAAACGATAGACAGTGAATCAGAAATTTTCTACATTTTTCGACTATGCAACTTTAACAAGCCAGGAGGAATACACCTCGCTCTGTGGTCAATTATGCCCTCATCTCTAATTGCATCTTTAAACACAATTAAATCAAAGCAGCTTAGTAGAACTCCTGCGTTAATGGTGGTAATATGGCCCCTCACTGGATTTAACCGGATAGTTTGACTCCTTCTTCTTGCGATTAAGGAAAATCCTGGAAGATGTGCTCTCGTATCTCTGCTCTTTGATTTGATCCTGTATAAAATCCCATAAGTTGACTTAATTTCTTTCTGGGAACAATTTCAGTATCGTGAACCATTTTGTATTGAACTCTCGCAGAAACAGCCTTGTCTCTCGAAAGGCAGGCACTTGTTAACAGTGACGTTTTCTGCTGGCCTTTTATCTTTCAATACCTGCTCTTGTGAAGTATGATGGTTCACAGTGTAGGACGGTTACGGTTCTATTCCACAGGTTGCCCCAGGCTTCTTTCTTCTGGAGATCGCTTTGATCATTTCCAATGATATAGTATGTATGCCCAGGGATTTATGCTAATAGTAAAAGTTGCGCCCTCCAAATTTTCATGCTCAGCGCATGTGTGCCAATATAACTCATTGCCATGAGGGCAATTTCGCTAAGAGCAAGTACTTACACAGATCTTTAGTAGTTTTAAGCAAATGCTAAGTGAAGTTAAGAGCTTCCAATATAGAATCCTACTTCAACATTCCCCTTTAAATACAATTTATGAGTGAAAGAGCTCATTGTGTGTCTTTCCGTCAACTTCGCTCCCCTCACATATCACTAAAAGGTACGTTTGCGATGTAATTATTATCAGGAGTAGGATTTCGTCGCGGAGCTCTAGGTTATCAAGGATGCAGTGAAATGTGATAGTGGATTTCGAAATGTCTCCTTCTGGGACCTTTAATATATCCGGTTTTCTGCAATCTGTTAGTATCTTTCGCAGCAGTTCATCTAACGACAATGTCTACGATTTCTTTTTAAAAGCGACATAAAGAGCTCTCGTTGGCAGTCGCTCGTTGAACATTTTCCAGCTGTTTAGCGAGGGTGGTTTTACTTAGCACCGTCCACGAGGCAAAAATATCATAAAAAAACATTAGATTAGTCACGTACTGCCAAAGTACAACTTTTGGTGAGAGATCTTACCGTTATCCAATGACTCCTTTAAAGTAATTTATGGTAAAAGATGCACTCAATAGGCATCTATTCCAGGAGCGGTACTTCTTTATCATGACGTGTTCTTTATGCTTTGTCTGTCTGTCGGTCCAGTAGCAAATATTTGTGTTAGAAACCTTTTTATTTTATTTTTTTTTTTTTTTGTTTTGTGCCATGAAAAATGCAATAGCTTCGGACTACTACGGCTTATAGCTCCCTTTCAAACTGATTGATAAAAATCAGAATAAACTGTTTTTATACCTTCAATCTCTATATTGGACCTTTATCTCTCAAACCAAGTCGTTAAAATAAAAAATTAACTTTTCACCACGAAAACACCACTGTGGGTAGCTTTAAAAAAAAAAAAAACAAAAAAAAAACAAAAAAAAACAAAGTACAACATTTTATTGCACCTTCAGGATATGGTGGCGCGTTTGTTGGAAGCAAAACGAAAGTAAAATCACCCCACCGTTAGCGCTGATCCGCAAAATTACTAACACAGGAGCTATTAGTATCATGGCCGTTGCCTGAGTGCTTGCATCTTCCCGTCTGTGTGTGTGTTCATAATGCAAACGATAATTATTAGCATCGGGCGACTTTTGTAGCGACTTTTAATGGCTTGCTGGCGTGTTGACTGTCCAACGATGGCTGCCAAGTTTGCTTTATCTGCATATATGTCTATATGTATATGTGTGTGTGTATGCTTACATGTGTAGTGCCTCTGTTTGTTCGCAATGCATGTGTTTGTGTGTGTTGCCTTGTCTGCTGTCGCAACTTTGCGGTTAATCTAAATTTATAACTTCATTTTTTCGCCATTGATGCCGAGCTCAGGGCAGGCGCTTCGTCCGTCCGTCTGCCAGAGTTAATATATACGCGCTCAACTTGTTTAACTGCATATAATACGCTGGTAATGCCACCTAACCCAGATTTGGCCATTTTGTTTTCGCAAATTGTTGTTGTTACTGTAATTTTACGGCATGTGATAATGAAATAATTTCAGTTTTTGTTTGTAGGCTTTGTGCCAACAATATTTTCTTACTTCAAGCGGTGTTTTTTATACTATCTATATATAGATATATTTTTTTTTTGTTGGTTTTGCTTTCAACAAACGATTGAATATATACATATATATATGACGTTTCTCTTTCTCACTTTTTTATATATATGTGCAGTATATATGCTTAATTTTTATCATTGCCTCTGTGGTCATGCAGCTTCCACCGTAACGAGTGTGTGTGTTTTCATATATTACATCCATAAAATGGAAAGTAGTTTCGAAAGTTTGGTAATTGAATATTTGGTAATTGCACTTCGTGGTCTCATTTCTGGTTACAAAATTAAATTTTTGCACTTTAGGTTCACTAAAGTGTTATTAATATCTAATAAAAAAAGTATTAAAATATGGAAAGGTTTAGGGTTGCCGAGAAAAAAGTGTAGTTATAGTTGAAGCGGCTTATAATAATAATGGCATATACAATAAATATATAGGAGTACCAAATAGTAAACACCAAAGTATTTCAAAGGTATGCAATTATACAGACTGTCCAATGCTTATGGTTGTGGTTGTGGTATAAAAATAGTAAAATTTAGTTAAATAATATGATAATTGTGTTGGTGTTCTTATGTAGCATTACTGTAATTTCTATTCTATTCTATTAATAAAATCTTCAACATTTAATTCTTTTATAATTTTTTTTTTTTGAGTTCACGCTTCATATCACAGCGAAATCAAAGCTTGTTGTGAAAAATGTGAGCTTAAAATGCAACTACTTTACACCTGTGCGCTAAAATTTCACTTTTCATTAAAACTAGATTTATATATCATTAATTTATTACTTTAATTTGGCAGCATAAAGAAGTAGTAAATAATCAAAATAAGCAATTTGCATAATATTTACGCGCCTCGTCAAACAAAATAGTATCAAAATAATTTTTTAGACGCAACTATCGCGTATAAATATTTAAATAAGATATTTCCAAACACACACACAACCACAAATTTGCGCTTGTGCAAAACTTTAATATAAATTTTTTTATTTTTCGATTTTAATTTGCAGGCGGCAGCATCAATCCTCGTTAAGCTGCGCGCGCGCCAGTGTGTCAGTAAACAATTGCAATAAATCAAAGCTTGTCAGCGAATCTCCCGAGTGTTCGGCGGCAACAAACGACAACAGCGGCGCGAATACGGACTCACCTGCCGCACTGTTTGGGGCATTAGTGCGCTTGTGTGCGTGCCGACGTGCGGATATGTGTCATTTTGTGGCGTGAACGTGTTAAAAATTAATTTGCATAAATAGCAAATATTTCGTGTTGACAGAGTAAATATTTGCCAGCATATGCAGGTGGCAACGCCAAAAATCCTGCAATAAATTATACCGCGACACATTTGTTGAAAATTGCAACTTTCAGCGCATACTTAATGCGAAATTTATGCATTTATTTATTTATTTGTGTTTAATGGAAAAAAAAAAATTGCGGAAAAATAATTAAAAAAAGCAAACTGCAATGCTTAATTGATTAATAGCGGTGACAAATTAACAAATGCATAACCGCATAAATAAGTGCGTACATACAAGTGTGTCTATGTGTTAGTGACAGTGGCGTATATGAACAACTGGCAGCGGCGCCTGTGCATATGCAACGACTTGTGACTGCCGAGTACCGTAAATGCGCTTAAGCAGCGAGGAGGCGCAACAACAAGCGCATTTAAATCAAATTGAGGGGCGGAAATAAAGTAAATTATAAAGTGAATAAGAAAAGACAGGAAATTCGTGGAAGAGCCGCTCATAAAAATGCACAACAAAAGCGCACAGCAAGCGCGTAGAGAGTAGAGAAACAATCTTTTATAAAAGCGTAAAATTAAATAATAAAGCCACTTAGCTTAAGCTGCTTGGTTTTTGCTTGCAAAGGCAGCTGCACCAGCGCGGAAGTGGCACCACAATGCGAGTTTAAAACAAGTATAAAATTACCGTTAAAAAGTACTCTTTCACATACATAAAAGAAACTGCCATAGAAACAAAAACTGCCAAAACAAAGAAGTCGTGCGTTAATAAACCACAAACAATAAAAAAAAGTAATTAACAAAAACCAACAACAATCACAGCCTTTGCTTATAGCCGCGCGCGCTCAAGTGTGCCCATTTTCGTAACAATGCGCATAATTTCGCATAGCATACGTTACGGCGCGCACGCTTATGCCGCCAACGCGGCGCATACAATTAACAAAAACACGGCTACACAACCCACCAACACTCCCACCCTCATCACCTCTAGCACTGGCATCGCTACGAAGCAGACATCGACTCAAGCCACCAAAATTTTTGCAAACGCTGCGCCGCAGCAGCAACGCAGCGCCAGCGCATTGTCCCTTGACACATCACCGTTAGCTGTGCCACAATTGGCCAGCCTCACCACACTGCAGGCAGCCGCTACACCTACAGTTAAGTCAACAGCCACACGCCAATCGCAAACGCAGTCGGTGTCGCAGTCGCAAAGCTCACTATCAGCTACAGCAATGCTACGTCGCTCCTACGCTGCACAATTCAGAATGAATTGCCCCATTTTAATTGTAATTAGCCTTGCTTGTATCCTGCATGCCGGTCTGCTGTGGCATGGTGCAAGTGCTGCAATTTCAAATCGAGGTAAGTGCCGAATAGTTATGCCACTGATGACGCGCGTATGTTAAAGGAATTTAATTAAAAATAAAATTAAGGAAGCAAAAGGAAGGAGATAAAGGAATTGTAATTAAAAACAAAAAAATAAAATCAAGAATAATAGACATCTCATACACAGAGAGAAGAAGAAAAACATACCTTGAAACGTTCAGTTTGCATGGCAGCTATATATGATAGTCAACCGACTTAAACAATTTCTTCAGATATTGTACCGTTTATAATGGACAACGAACCATGCTAAATTTCGTGAAGTTATCTTTTCAAATTAAAAACATTTTCATACAAGCGCTTGATTTCGATCGCTCAGTTTGTATGACAGCTATATGTTGTAGTAGTCCGATCGGGACAATTTTCTAAGATATTGCTGCCCTATGTCAGAGAATTATACATGATGAATTTCATATTTATATCTCGTCAAATAAAGAAGCTTTCCATGCAAGAATTTGTAATGTAACGGAAAGTTTGTATGACAGCTATATGCTATATACGTCCGATCTAAATAATTTTCCAGGAGATTACTTCACTGTTCCAAGTTATTATTTAAGACAAATTCCATAAAGATATCTCGTCAAATAAGGAAGCTTTCCATACAATAGCTTGTATTTCATCTGCCAGTTTGTATGGCAGCTATATGCTATATACGTCTAATCTGAACAATTTCTTCGGCGAGTGCACCGCTGTTTGAGGCAATCAGCCGTACTAGATTTCAGGAAGATATCTCGAGTAGTTACCAATCTTCTCATAGAAGTATTCGATTCGGATCGTTTAGTGCGTTTGACAGCTATACTATAATAGTCCGATATCGGCAGTTCACAATGAACACAAATGAGTAGAGTCTTTTTAAGAATAGGATATGTGTAAAGTTTTGAATAAATATCTAAATATTGAACGCTACAAACTACGTGGCAAACCTAAGGTACATGAATGTACAAGAACATAAGAAGAAGTAACAGAAAAATAAAAAAATATAAAAAGAAAAACCATAAATAAAAATAAAAAAGAAATAAAACAAATAAAATAAGGAAAATAAATAAAAGTGGCCGGAAAAAATTAAGAACAAAAAGTTAGCGTGAAATCCTCAGTCGGCGCCTTGCGATATGCAACGCATTTGAATTCACTCACAAAACTGCCATTATTTATACGGATTTTTGTGCGTGTGCGAGCAATTGCTGCAACTTCAATGCAAATTAAGCACATTAGTTGTAGCAATATTTTCTCTTTTTAAAGGAAACTTTAATTTTTGCAATTTTCCACTTTTATTTAAAACAAACACATCCTTGCTATGTTTACTCAGCGTCTGAAAAGCGTGCGAAATAAAATCAGGCAGTTGCTAAAGTCGCATAAAACACGCTTTTCAATGTGCTCGTAAGTGTCTTCATTTATGAAACCGCAAAATAAAGCAAGAAAGGCGAAAAACGCTTAAACAAAAGTGCTAAAAAGTGTGTGTTTAAATGTGTGCGCGCCTGCAAATAATTCACTACAATGCCACTATATCATATATTTAGACTAGTGCGCTTACTCAGCATATAACAAATACTCTATATACGTTACATATTCAAAAATATATATATATATATATTTACATATATCGCTTAAATCCGCTCCATTTAAGCGTCAGCTTTCACGTTTTTCCTTTTGCTTCCTGCCTTACTTTATCTCTACCGACTTTCGCCTTTGCACAACCTTCAGCGTTGCTACTGCTTCGCATCCCTATAATCACACACACACACACACTTTCACAAATATTTTTCACATTTTAATTCCCCTCTAGCTCTGTTTTTGCAGTTTCCTTTGTTTACACTCGTAAATGCTTAAATCCTAGTCGTCGAAATGGGTTGCGTAAGCTGGTTGCCACGCCGCCGGTTCGCTTCGCCACACATCCGCCCGGCATACCAAGTAGTTGCAAGTCGCGGCTGCTTGCCTCTAAAACGCATTTACACAAGTACCACGCTATGCACACACACACACACACAGGCACAGAGTTACACGCGCAACCACAATGCGCGTGGAAAACACCAAAAACCACTCGAAAGTTCAAATCCCGCTTTGAAGCTGCTGTGTGGCGCATACACTTGAAAATTATGCATAAAATTCTATCTACTCGCTCGAATGTACTAGATAAAATATTAAATTTCATAGAAAAGAAAACAAAACAAAAAAAAAAACTAAATACGCTATACTTTTAGTGCTTTTCACTTGCTAACTTATATAATTGAAAAATCAATGTGCTCTGAAGCACTTTCTGTTCTCGAACGAAGTAAGGAGTGCTGAAACTAAGTCTATCATCACGTAGGCTAACAAAGCAGGGAGAAAGGAGGGAGGTGAAATAAGAAGCTGCTATCAATGAATCTGTCAAAAAAAAGGGATATTTTTAAGAGCGTGAACAAAGCTATAGCAAGGTAAGCTGAAAAATGTCGAGCTACCTCTCTGTTCAGAAGGAAAAAGTTAAAAGCCTGAGGAGCGCAATGGAAGTGGATGATGATAAACGTGATGCTGAAAGTGTTATAAGCAACCCTAGTCCGCCACCGTCATGCGCAGATGCGTTCGGCAACTGTATAAAGCCGCTATAACAAAGGTTTAGTGGCTTACTGGGAACTAGTAGGTAGCGGCTGACAAGAAGGACATGCAATCCTGGTCAAGCACAAGAGTCTGGATGCCGGCTACACCATCGCAGCTGGATCAGCTCATTAACGTCTATAATTTGAAACTTGCCAATAGAGGAGTGGAAATTCGTTAAGGCTTTCGCGGACCCTAAAGGAGACTTTGGCATACTTTCATGTGAGCATCGACTTACACTACTACTTGTATTAAGAATTTCAAATGATTAACTAAATGTTCTTCGTTAATCACATTAATATTTCTCCAGGTGCATTTGCACTCCGAATATGCGTCACGCGCAGTTGTATGGAGCTAAGCCGCGACCACAGCACCGCAGCAAGCGCGAGCTGCAAATGGCAACAATTAAGCGGGCAACATTAACTCAACGCGCCACCGCAGCGCACACAGCAACAAATTGTAGATAGTAACAGAAGACTTCGTTGCAAGTATTTGTTTGAGTTGAAGGTGGTTGGAACCTGCGCGGCGTCCACAGGCGGCTGTAAAGGGATACTATTTAGTTCGACGGCTGTGCAGTGTTATTTAAAGTTTTGCTATTGTACCATGTTATGCTGTGCTGTGCGGTGCTGAGTTCTGCTATGTTGTGTCGAGCAGTTAAGTTAACTTAGCTTAGGCGGCTGATATTTCACACTTAGATTGTTATGCGCAGTCCTTTTTGAAGCTAAACGATAAACTTTTTTACTGTCAACCACTGAAAAGTGGAACTCATTGAGAACGCAGAGTTCCCTAGGGCTCTTGGAGTGCTCGGCAAGCAGGACCTTGCGACTGCACAGATGTTGACTAAAGCTTGCTGAGTTCTTGGCGCAAAAGTCCTGTACTCAGCAGTTTTTGAGACTGAAGTACCTATCCCAGCAACCTCATTAGTCTTACAGTTTTCTGCAATCAGCGAATAACTCGATGCCAGAGATAAGGAGTCTAGAAAAGACTTCACGCGTCTTGAGTCAGCGAACTCAAGTCCAATATCGGTACCGGAATGGATAGTCACGATTTTGAAGAAAGCTGCGTTCCAGAGCAGAAGCTCTACTGCTACTTTTATAGCAGCCACTTCAGCTTGAAAAACGCTGCAATGGTCAGGAAGCCAAAAGCTGGAGCTGAAGAGAATTTCTCTATATATGCATACTTAAAACATGTTTCGAGCAGTATCATGGAATAAAAGTACTACGCTATGCCAAACCAAACCGTGTGACACTGTACTATAGTCGCGTAAATATTTGCTATTGCAGAGCCCCCTCCGTATTTATGTATAATCGTTTACTAAAACCGGACGAAAGGCGTGCGCCATGTTGCAAAGTAAATACTTTTTACCTCCAAGGTAAATTACATTGCGGAAATGAGCTTAATACCGCCACATTTTGAAGCACTCTATTTTAGCGTTTCGTTTTGTTGTGCATTCACTTTCAACTGAAACAATTTTCCAAAGTTCGCATTTTGGCCAGCCACAACTACATTAAAAGCTGTGCGTATGTATTTGTGGCGTTGGTTTGCCACGCCTCTAAATGCGCCAGCTCCTGTGCGCATACGCAGCTTACTCACTTCCTACGACACGTACGCGCTGCATCTGTGCGGCTTTATTTTTTATGCATTACGCACATTATGTCGGCTCTCGGCTTTATTCCTACTTTTTCCCTACTTTTCACTGTATTCTTAAAAGTAGTTTGCGTTTTCATTCCTGTTTCCCTCCCCGCATCACGCCCTGCACGAATCAGTGTGCTGGACTACGTGCGGTGGCTGGCTCTTGTTTAACTTTTAACTTGACACGAATATGTGCAAGCACCGCACGAACTCATTCGTGTGCTCCAAGACCAAAGAAAGTAAATATGAAAACAACTACAACAAGCCAGAGACAATTATAAAGTTATCTGTGTGGCAGCGCAGGGAAAAATTCTTAAATTCTTGTTAAAAGAAAACTGTATTCGTGTGTGTGTGTGTGTGTCTTTTCATTGCAGCCGATTTACTTTTATCACCGTTGTTTCCGCTTTTTGGGTTACTGGGTGGCATTTGCCAAAATACAGAAAGTTCCATGTTGCTCTACGTATATATGTATGTGCTTGTCTCTATAAAATAATTGCCTGAACAGCTTTCCTAAAAAAACTTCTTATATAGACCAGGGTTGATAATTTTTGAAAACAAAAAAATCATAGTATGATGAAATCCATCAGAAACGATAGATTCATCATTGGCGTAGATACCACTTACTTACTTACTTAGCCGACTCTAAAGCAGCGCGACAGTCGTCCCTCCTTTTCGCTCTCTCCCGCCAATAGAGATTCCAAGTATAGCCAGCTCCTTCTCCACCAAGTCTTTTCAAAGGCGTGGAGGTCTTTCTCTTCCTACGATGGGTACTGCATCGA